CCTCCACCTCCACCTCCTCCTCCTCCTCCTCCTCCTCCTTCTCCTTCTTCTCTTCTGTCTCTACTCGCGCAATATCGCGTGGCGCAAACTTGTTCAAAAAAATTCACGAGTCACAATTGACAACCCAATATATATCGAGTTAACATAATTTTTCTGCTTGTAAAAATCATAGAAACAAAAAGTCCAAATTAACTGCCTAAAGGTAATAAATAAACAGCAAAAATAATGTATATATATGTATAACAAGACCGCGAAAATCATTTACACAATGTCTCTACGATAAATAACACGTTAAGAATATCGATTCGATGGGAAAGCGTACGACAAAAATGAAACAATCGGTATGAAAAATGTAACAACGAGCAATCGATGAAACCAAACGTACAATTAACACAGTGATATGTCCACTCGGATTCAAATAGCAAGAATCCGGATCGGTCGAGCATCTGGCTCTATATAAAGCGCATGGTATAGTTTTCTTATATTCTTTCAAGAATAACTATGTTGCACACACTGCGCCATTTCAGCGTTAAAATATCACGACAGAGCGTAACTGGGTGAGTGATTTAAGGTGCTTTAATTTCGATACGACAACGTCTAGTTCGAGATAACGAAATGACTGCCGAAATAACTTCTCTCTTTTTTTTTTTTCAGTTCATATGAACACTTCAACTATTGAAAACAAATTAGTCGCAATTACGTGGGAGGGCTGTTTCGAATTCCGCGAACTCGTACGCGACCTACGTCTCGACGTTGGCGGAACGGCGAATGCAACGTCGGTCGTCGCGACGACACTGAGACGCCGGTCGTCGAGACGCGGACGGTACCGCGCGCTCGGCGGCCAGGTACGGTATCCTAAACAGTTATTAATAGCCCCTGTCCTAGCTTACTAGATTTGCCCTCGAAATGATGCGACGCGATGCAACGTGACATCGAGCAATTCTGTATTTCCTTCGCTAATCATCCCTTATTTTCCCTTTTATTTTGAAATATTTTATCAAGCAATGAGATTTGCTTGATTCGTTAAATTTCAGATAACCCTATATTTCAGTATATATAATATATTTACTCCGAATAGAATGTTATGTTCAAGATCAGTGAGGAAGTATCAAATCATATTGAATTGATAGCCCAGCTGCTGCTAAATATTCATAGAAAGTTCGATTCGTATTCCCAGGATGCCGAATATTCCAAAATAATAAAAAGAATCAAAATGTGCAAATGTCAATGAAACGTTCCCCAAATATTGTATAAATACTCCTTGTATATATCACGAAACGCATTCGCAAGCAAGCAGTACATATTTCCGCCGAATATTTAGCGTCAGCTAGGAATATACGTATATGTTATGTATACATACAAATGTACGCGCGCGCGCACATGCTTAAATTAATCATGATACACAGAGATTATAGTCGGAGATAAATCGACAATAATTACGTGTGTACGCTGAGAGAAATGTTTCGTTAAAAATGGACATACTAGAAAATTCTGATTGATACAATCAGAATCTTTTGGTTTGTTCATTTTCAGTCAAATATTTTTCGCAATATCATAAGATATATTACAGGATACAAGTAATCGGTCAGATAAATAAGAAGAAGGAACACCAAAGCACACGCGTTTAAAGCATACTCGCATGATCGCTTTACGATGTTTTTCTCCGATGTAAGAAATTATAGATATATTACCTAAAAGCTACCAGTGCTAACTAACAACAATATAGCGCTATTGTTATTTAAAAACTATCGATTAGTGAAGTAAGCGCAGGAAACTTTGGCGCACATGCACAAAATAACAAAATCGAATTCTTTTTACCGGCAAACGTAAATAAAATATTTTTGAAAATCTTAAGCACCTGTCCGACGGAAGGAGCTTGTAGATAAGTCGAAATATCCGGTTCCACCATGCAGCTTCTCAGAGTGTCCGGGATGAACATGAGTAATCTGAACGTTGTCTGAACTCTTCAGGCTGGAATGGATTCAACTTTGCCGCTGATGTTTGACTTCGCGTTTTAACGCCCAAATTCAAAGATGGTTATCATGAGGAGGAAAAGAAGCTTACAATTAATTTGGACAACGAGCATAAAATCTAAATTCCTCTGCTTTCCAAAATCCGTTATCGTCCGAATGACAGGGATCGTGCTCTTCTCAATCTATAATTGTACGATTGCTGTCGCGAGTTGTCAAAGATGAGGCACGTGGATGGAAGAAACTTTCTTCTCTCGCGAGATTTCGAGGAAGTTCCGGATGATACAGTGGTGGTGGTGGTGGTGGTGGAGATGGTGGTAATGCAGTCGTACTGAATTCTCAAGCTCCGCAAGAATCCGCTGTCTTTGACGATTCGGTCACTATCTCCCGCGCTCTCGAGAAACGTTTCCGCAGGACTGTCGTTCTCGTCGCAGACGTGTTTGCTGTTGGCGATGATATTACGGATGCTGTTGACACTGCTAAACTGTCGTTTGCCGGGTGGTGACGAGACGCCGCACCCAAGTACACGCATCCTACCTAACCGCAGCAGCCACAAATTGCAAACTTTTCAATTTTGGGTTTAGCTTCTCTCTCCCTCTCTCCCTCCCCCTCTCATGCGCGCGCGCGCGCTACACACACACACACACAACGCGCGCGCGCCCTTCTCTCTCTCTCTCTCTCATACACACACACAAACACACACACACACACATACATCTTACCAACTTTCACCCCTTCTTTTTTCGATGCCTTTCTTCTTTCTGAAAATACCTTGTAAGGATAATCTTTAAGTTACTCTCTTTCTGGATCTTTTTATATATCGCTTGCGCTCTCTCTCTATCTCTCTTCTTGATTTTTGGTTATTTTCTCTTCTCTCTCTTTCTCTCTCTCTTTATTTCACTTTATCTTTATTAATGAGTTGCACTTCTCTCTTTCTCTTTTCACTCCTTTTTCTTGACTACGTAATTTTAATATTGTCTCTACGATCAAGTTGACGAACACAATGACAATATAACGAAAATAATGATGGAAAGTTCTTAATGCTTCGAATCGTTTCAGCTCCCCTACGTCCAAAGACGCCGAGTTTCAGACTACGTCGACCCGATACCGTGAACACTGCGTCGGCATTGGAATCGGCGTCGGCGTCGGCGTCGGCGTCAGCATCAGCGTCGGCGTCGGCGTCGCTGCGTCGGCGTTGGCGACGTCGGCGGTGCCGGTGGCGTCGGCGTAAAAAGCCAACAGCATCGCGCTCGATGTCAGAGTACAGTCCGCCACGAGATATAGAAAGATAATTCGAAAGAGGGAGAAGTAAAGAAATATTAATCAAACGAAATAAAAATGAATAAAGGATTTATAAAAATAAGTGTATAGAAACGTAGAGAAAATCAATTTTAAAGTTTACTTTTAAGTTAGAAACATGAATGTATGTATTAAACAGAAATATTTAACTTCAATGCAAAAAATATATTCTTGAAAAAAATAAAAAAAAAGAACAAAAAGTGAAAAATGTTAACAACTAATGCTCAATTTCTTCACCTCTAGATAACCTTTATCTAGAAGATATCTCCCAGAATACAATGGAATATCTTCTGGATAAAGTTATCCGTAACTTATCTAGAAGTGAAGAAATTGGGCATAAATAAACAAGAAGCATTCTGACATATTGATTTTATATATATTTTATCAACGGTCTCATATATTATTTTATAAATATCGTAAAATATTATCTATAATAATAATATATTTATCAACATTTAGAAAATGTTTAAATATTTTTTCAAATACTTTATAAATGCAGCATAAAACGTTGGAAAAGTAATGAAATGATGAAACGTGAATTGTTTATTATTAGTATTGTATTTCTAATTATTGTTCTAATTATTGTTTTTACTGAGGTTTAAATATCATCTAACATGAAATATAATAGAAGAAAGGCCACAAAGCTTGGATCACGAACTTACGGAAGCTGCACTGCATTGAATAAGAAATGGGAATTTTCTCAGGTCACAATTAGAATTTGCATCAATAGATAGCAAGAAATTATACAAGGGCGTGAAGCGAGAATACAAGATTTTAAAATGTAAAACATAACTAAGCGCTTATCTAATACGCACCTGCGCGCGCGCACGCACACGCACGCACACACACACACACACACACACACACACACACACACACACACACACACACACACACACACACACACACACACACACACAATATTTGACCAACAATCTCCGTTTGGTGTGAATCGGATAATGGTAATGTTAGCGGTAACTAATGTATTACGATAATTTTGATGAGTGTGAAACATATTTTAAAAAATATATATTTTGGATATCGTTGTAATAACATTATAACAATGATATTTCGTCTATTGAGAAAATATAATGAAAATAGAAAATAAAAATTAAGGAAAATTATTTCTCGATTATGTTATGCGTATACATATTACTCAATTAATTAAATGTATAGAACAAGAATTAAAAAAAATACATATAGGTAATTTCAATATGTATTGTATCTCTTTGCAACAAAAATCACACAAAACTTTATTTTTTTAATTTATAAGAAAAAATACATACTTTAAGATAATTATCACATTTGCGAAAAAATTTATTGTACTCTATATAGTGCATCAAATCATGCAATTTTTATTCAGCCGTAATATGTCCTTACGTCAAAAAAGATAATGAGCGAAAGTAAAAATGAATTTAAAATTTAATTAAAAGCATCTTAAAGTACAATACAAACTTCATACTTGAAAATGGAAACAAAAGCTTTTAAATGCGACTATCTTTCAAGTAGTTATGCTTACTTGAAGTTATGCAAAATTTGGTATAAATTTATAAATTACAATAATTTTGATGAGTGTGAAACATATTTTAAAAAATATATATTATTGGATATCGTTGTAATAACATTATAACAATGATATTTCGTCTATTGAGACAATATAATGAAAATAGAAAATAAAAATTAAGGAAAATTATTTCTCGATTATGTTATGCGTATACATATTACTCAATTGGCTAAATGTATAGAACAAGAATAAAAAGCAATATTGTGCAACAACATTTTATAAGTGCAGGAACAGTACCTCTCATATATATTATACTATATTAAAGCTCATAATAAAGTTCTTGAAAATCTTGCATTTAAAAAAATTTTAATCAAACTTTGATTAGCTTAATCGACAATTAACTCTTATTAAACAATATCTATAGTACATATTTTATTTTTTAAAAAACATAGATAAAGTTATTAATTTTTTTGTCGGACATTTATTGCATAAAAAGATTAGAGATCAGAGAATTATATATACACACACAATTATAAACTTTTTTACTAAACGTTTTGTAAAAAATACTGATCAGGAGACCTCGCTTCAATGATCTTGACTTTACATACATTGTCAAGGTCATGATCTTCAAAAAATTTTAGCCGAAATTCACTCGTAATTCGTTAAACAATTATAAACAAAAAAAGTTTAAGAAATAACGTCTCGTTTTTATTATACACATAAAAAAAAAATATTAAAAACTATTCTATATCCCCTTTCCTCAGACTGGGTCCACAACCTCTCAAAGCGAGGTTCTTAAAACCCAGCCTCATGTTTTGTGTTGCAAAGTATATGCATGTAAACAGTATACACTGACCTCCAGGGAGCAACACCCTCAAATGAAAATGATTCAACTTACATTTCAATATGAGTTGACCCTCGCTTTATGTACGCTCTACATAAAGCTAAACGAAGGCTAGACCATACTTCTTGACCATACTAAAATATGAGTTGAATTAGGTTTTTTGGGGAAGGAGCATGCATACACTGGTGCGCCATCACTGCTTTAGAGAGGGGGGGGGGGCGACATATACTGCTTCTATACACATAACTAAACTACTCCACATTCCCCCCCCCCCCTTCCTTAGCATAAAGAAGTTTGATTTTTCACAAGAAGTCAAATCTCTTCCTTTCTAGGTGCACACGATTTTCCATACAAAACGAGGCTTAAAAAGAATAATTAAATCCAAATTATATTTTGGTGTTGATGAGTAGACTTGACTTTGAGTGGAATTATAAGTTATACGATCCTACATACAGGGAGGGATGTGAAGTGGACTTTGCTTCGTGTGAAAAGTCGTACTCCTCCTTGACAGGGGAGAAAGTGAGGTGAACCTCGCTTCGCTTAGAAAGCCGAACGCCCCTAATCAAGGGAAGATGTAAAGTGGAAATTGACACCTTACATTAAAAAATTTCGTTTTCTTATAAAAAGATTAATATTTTTTTAACAAATGATGAACGACGACTAAAATTTGTTAAAGTCATGACAATATATATGTCAAAATCAAGATATTGAAGTTAAATCTCCTGATTGATATTTTTACCAACAATTTTAAGTCGATTATAAAAATTAATTTTGTAAACAGACATGGCGGATGTCCGTTCGTTTCGTGCCATTTGTAGCCATCAAGTTGATAATCTTTGATTGATATTCAAAGTATGAAATGTGCTCCGCATAAATAAAAAACACAATTCTAATGGGCATATGAAATAAACATTACACTGCTCCTTTTTTAAAGAAATTTGAAGTTTAAGGTATTAGTACTTACTGCCAGATGTTGCTGCTACAAATTCAGCATCGGATATACTCGTACGTTCAGTATCCATAATTCATCGTTAACAAAAATTTGAAGTTTTTTCATTTTGTGTTAATTGTGGTTCTTTATACAACACTAGCTTTACTAACTTCTTTAATTAATGACTCCCGCCTCCAGTTAATGAATAGGTGGACGATATGGCAATCGGGCAATAGCTTTACTAACAAAAGGAACAATTTTTCCCGCCTAAAATGGCAAATATAACTGATAACCGTTGTCCATAGACATCACACCAGATAAAATGCCTCACCTCGGGAGCTGACTGCTGAGATAATCCATGCGCAGATGCACTTTCTTGCGCTGCGCGCTTTATAGGCATCTTGCCGTTCTCATATACGCATGAGCCGTGCATAGGGCCGGTATTCATATACTGGATTCACATTGCATCCGATATGTATGTGTCGTACGACGATTTTCCAACCAGAAAAATCGTATCATCGATGCCAAGCAAAATCCTGTTTTTTTATTGGTTGCAGAATCATCGTACGACGAAAATCGGATGCAGTGTGTGAAGGTACTTTTTCATGCGCAGCACGCTGCAGCAGCAATTCGTTACTATTGGTTAAGAATTTTATGTAAGCTAGATGACGTACTTCCGGCGCAAATACATTTTGCCGCAGTTCGTTGAAGTTGAACCGAACGAACAGCAAGCAGCAAGCGGCAAAATCGAGAAAGCGTACAACATGTCCGTCGTTTCATTATAAAAATATTATTTATTGCAATAAATATTAGGAAAATAAACGAAAAATGGCTTCGGATAAGGTACGGATACATGTTTGTAAATTAGATCATTTTATACTTTACCACAAATTTGAAAAAGTAAAGTGTAAAGTATAAAATGATCTAATTTACAAATATTCGTACCTTATCCGAAGCCATTCTTCGTTAATTTTCCTAATATTTATTGCAATAAATAATATTGCCTCGATTTTGCCGCTTGCTGCTTGCTGTTCGTTCGGTTCAACTTCAACGAACTGCGGCAAAATGTATTTTGCGCCGGAAGTGCGTCATCTAGCTTACTTAAAATTCTTAACCAATAGTAACGAATTGCTGCTGCAGCGTGCTGCGCATGAAAAAGCACCTTGAATCCTACAATAGTCGGTTCTTATTTTAAGATCGTCTGCCCAATGGAAGAACAGGTATTAGGTATGAAAATATTAACCTATCAGATACCAGTTACACCGAAATACACGATTCTGATAGGTTAATAT